TACAGCCGTGCCCGTGACCTGTCCTGCTGTCAGCTCCAGTCCGGGAGATTTGCTCACATCCTCCCTTTGCTAATACTCAGTCTAATCATCTCTCCCTTTCCATCCTCACCCACTCGCTGCACCTGACCTTCCTACAAACATGCGTCGCACTTCCTCACTGCACTCCTGAAACTGCCAAATCCCACAGACAACTTCTTTTCAGACCAACTCTCTTTCCTCCTCCCTTTGTACCGACGTTTCTTAAGACATCCACTGACCTTCGGCATCATCGCCCTCTCTCCAGCCTAGAAGTGCTTTCTTCAAACCACATCAAAGCCCCTTCTCTTAGATTTTGAGCCAAATATAAGGTCACCCTCCACCATACCGGAAATATTTTCTCACGGACCAACGGGACTTATTTTTTGTTTATTTGGAGTAAAGGGCAGCAGAGAACCCCTGTGATCGGGTCAATCCAAGTGAAGGTCTGTTGCCAGGATGGCGAGACAAAGGAAAGTTGAAAAAAGAAAGAGAGCATGTTTTCATTTCTGCTACAGACAGAGGGATGGAGAGGATAGAAGTGGAGGGGTAGATGTAGAGTGGCTAGAGTGGCTGCCTCTCTGCTGCTTTGGGCAATCTATTAAAACGATCCCTCCATTAGACAAATGTGGGGGAGGAGGCCAAATAAAATGGATCCGACGGGTACAGAAAGGGTTGACTGATCCAGAGGGGAGGGAGAAGTGAGCAGCTGAAAAAGGACAGGCTGTGACAGAGGTGGGACCAAACCGGGATAGGACATCAGCTACAGAGGACAGTTTTGTCCACTTGGACCATCGCTTTTAAACATCTTGTGAACACTTTTGCCTCAACAGACATTATGATTCTCAAACCAGGTGGGCACGGCCATGAGAAGAGTAAACGAGACAGACTAAAGGACAGAGAGCGCCGCAACGAACAAATGAGCTGCAGATAAAGGAACCAAAAGAAACACCACTACTACAAAGACGGGGGGGGGGGGGGGGGGCATGGACTGAAGAGTTACAGGACAGCATTATCTTTCATGTCCAACGCAGGTGACTAGCATGAGAAGAGCAGCTTAAGTATCTCTTCTCTTTCACTCCCGGCCAACAGGGAAGGTCCATTCTGGGCATGGTTAGGTTTAATTAGAGGTGTTGTGCTGGGGAGGGTCCAGAAAGCCAGCTGCTTCACTCCGAGGAGAGAACACTCAAGTCTCCGCCGCTTCTACGCAGAAACGACTCAAACAGCTCAACAGTGTCACAGAAAAGAAAAGCGACTAAAGCTGCTAAATAAAATCACAAACACGTTCATGTTTAGTCTTTTTGATGCCTCAGCAAAGCTCAGCTTGAGTGAGATGAACAGACGGTTCGATCCAGAACTTTTCTGCAGCTCCTGCTCGTGCGCTGCGATGTATAATTTTAGCCGGAGATGTGAACTCACAGCAGGAAATATCAAGAAAGAGCTGCAGGGGAGCGTCTGTCCGCAGCGACCAGGAGGAAGTGCACGACGCACGTTCTGGGTTTTTCCTTCAAACATGTGAAATAGAGCTCCTTGTGTTTGATATCACCAGCATGAAGGGGGTTACACAAGCATCATAGCGAGGTTTAAGCCAAGTTTGGAGTGATTGGGATCATTAAGAGCTGTCAACCTGAACTCTGGGGTTTTCCTCGATCAGGCTTCTCATTTTTCTGCCATTTATCCATTTGAAACAGTTCAGCCATATTTGTTTTCCTCTTATGGTTGCGTTTTGATTACATCTTTTTTCATTTTTACTTTTATCTCCGTAACCAACTTCCCTTTGATGATTACCAAGATACCCCTGAATACTAGCATTTCTAACGTCGTGTGCATCTACTAGAACAAAAACAGAGTAAATGAAGACAAAAGATAACAAGACTGGAACCTGAACTTATACAGCATGCATCATGCTGCTGTCATGTTTACACACACACACACCTCAGCTCATTTTAATACAGAAGTGTGTGAAAATGCCCTGACTTGTCCTCACAAATACAGCAGAGAGAGAATAAAAGACAACAACGAAACTGCGGACACACACTGAACATCCATCTGTGTTCTTTCTGATTTATCATCTTTGGTGTGGGATGGGTTTCAGAGCTGGTTCCAATTAGACCAGATAGTCACTGAATGTCTGGAATTTCTAGGCAATTCGTTTCATCCGAAGCAAATTCAGTCCCAGTAAAAACATCTATTGATCTGCTGGTTTAAAACGTCCTTCACATCATAAATAAGCTCATCTGACAGTAAAAATTAAAGGTCACAGAAGACTTATGAACTCAGATGATGACTGGTTTTTGGTGATGCTCTGTGATGTGGAAAACTCAACTCCATCTTTAAATCATCGATTCCACCCCCCACCCGCTTTACAACAATACATGAAAACACAAACAGCTCCGTGACAATAACAGAACAAGCTACAGCCGGGACAGCCAACAGGCTTCAGAGGCTTTAGTTTGTGTTCAGGTATCTCTGCAGGACAGGTATTTCCAGTCTGGTTTACATCACTCTCCTTTCAGTTGGCCATTTCCTTATTAAGGCTGCATTTGGTTTTTAATTTAGAGCAAGTCACCCCCTACCAGATTCTTACTCCACTCCCACTTCCTGTTTGAAAAATGCAACAAATGCTGTTGCCTAGCAGACCGAGAGGGCGGAGCTGCTAACAAATACACGCACAGGCTCACAACGACATTGTGACATCATATGGTACCAGCTAACGTTCTAGGGTACCTCTTAGCCAATAGCGATGGCAGATTTTAATTCAAATGCAGTGCAGAGTTTTTACCTGACAACGGCACAACACTGACAGTTTAGGCAGAAAATTAAAATTTAACTAAAATGCACTAAAGTGCAAAACTACTGACGACACGTGTCTGCAGCACGATTAGACACGCATTTATATAGTTTATCAGAAAAAAGAGTTGATTTGGGGGTGACTTGCTCTTTAAAAAAATCTGTTCTCTTAATGAGATCTCTGGATCGTGCGACAGTGTAGTGAAATTACAGACTGAGCCAACATTTTCACAATATATACTGCAACACACCGGTTACTTGGGGGGGGGGTGACTAAACTGTTGACATAATGAAAAAATGTCAAACCACAAAAGGGTTTTATTTCAGGAATGTGCTAGCTTGATTTTTCCTACTATTGGTGATGGATCTTTATTTTTTATTTGGTTTTCAAAAACATTTCCATCTTAACTTTGTTTTGTCATCATCTAATTCAGAAGCTTCAACTCCCTCAAAGTGCAGCCACCAAACCATGTCCCACCCTCACGAGCTTTTTCAGCTTTACGTGAAATAATCTCTCCCACAGCCTGAGAAGGTGAAACTCTAGCTGTGATGTTTCTTATGTTATATGGTTCACTGAGCTTCTGTCGCTGTGTGAGACTGCCCTCACATGTATGACACCCAACACCAGTCCACACATATGCTAAACCAGTTCCTTTTGCATAAGAACACATCAAACCATAGTTTGCTCAGGTAGCCGAGTATAGAGGCTCGAAACTGGATACTCCAACAGAAACTGCATCCTTTTGCTCATATCTTCAGTTGGGTACCACCACTAAAGTATATATTTTTGCTACTTGAAGGTATAAATGTCACCTGTGCTGTTCAAAACTTTTCATTTTACCGTAGAAGTGTACGAGACTCTAAAAAGAACTGCTTAGAAAACATTTAGCCTGCACTCCTTGAGCAGCTTGTTACCTAGCTACATCAATATTTGTATAATTGACTAAAGGTAGACATGCCACAGCGCCTTAAGAAACGGTGTGTGGCTTACTACCTATTCTCAGCAGCTCCCAGCTCACACCACAGACTGCTGCTGTTCATTTAACTCGAGTATGAATCCTAAATCTGCACCACAAGACACCTCACAGGCAAGCACGCGCGCGCGCGCGCGCACACACACACACACACACACACGCTACAGTCATGCCAAGCCCAGGACAGTCCCCTCCCTCTCTCAGTGCATTACTAAAAACCAGGGGCGGATTTAGGACTGAAGAAGATCCGGGGCTTAACACACACGCGCGCGCACACACACGCGCGCGCACGCGCACACACACGCATGCGCGCACACACGTGACACGCACTAGTCAACATCATATATATTTGTCTTGTACCACATAATGTTTAATCTGAAGCTACATATTCAGCATATTCAGGGCAGAGTATTGTTCCTGTTAGTGTTTAGTGTGAGATGATAGTGAATATTCCCTTTCTTTCTCCAACAACTTTACCTGATAGTAAGCTAACTTTAGGCAAACCAGCAGCACAACAAATATTTTCAAATAAGACTCACAAACCTGAGTCAACACCAGTCTCATCAGAGCTGGGGTTCTGTCGTTGTACTTTTGGTCTAAAAAAACGTCCTTATATCCATCTTCACTCATGCGTTTCAGAGACTGCAGAAGCCAGCTGCTGAAGGGCTTCTCTTCAGTCTCAGGTTAACTGTATACTGACTAAGTAGCCTAGTGGTAGAGTGTCTGCCCTGAGATCGGGAGATCAGGGGTTCGACTCCTGGTCGGGTCATACCAAAGATTTTGAGAAAAATGGTACCCAATGCCTCCCTGCTTGACACTCAGCATTGGATTGGGGTTGGATTGGGGGGTTAAACCACCAAATAGTTCCCGAGCGCGGCGTGTCTGCAACTCAGGGGATGGGTCAAAATCGGAGAATAAATTTCACCACACACCTGTGTGTGTGACGACTAAATGGGACTTTACAAACTACTGCCAGCTGCGCCCTCTCTGTGTGACTTTGGTACTGCATGTTACTTCCGCGATTTAGATCCGGGGCTTATCATGAAAGATCCGGGGCTTCAGCCCAAGTAGCCGGGCCTAACGCCGCCCCTGCTAAAAACACCCCCACTCCCATCCCTTCCAAGTCAGGGTGACTGAAAACACAAGTCTAATAAGATGTGTGACTCATCTCTTTACTGACCTACAGCACACTGTCACGGACGGTGTCAAGGGAGCACGTACCTGCCACCGGGATGTGGTGCACTCCTGGAACCGAGGGGAGCCTCTGTATCCCGGGGGAGGCGTTGCTTCCTGGTGGTCGCTGCTGGTGCTCCGGATTGCTGTGAGCTCCGAGCGGCGCGCACCCGGCACCGTGCTGAGGCTGTAGCTGCTGCTGGTGGTGGTGGTTTGATACTCCGCTGCTCCCAACACCGTACTGTTGGTAGTATCCAGACCGGGAACGCGATCGAGTCCTTGGGGGTTCCATGGACATTTGGTGGGGATGAGGGAGAAAATAAGAGGAGGACGCGACCGGGGACTGCGGAAGAGAGATGGAGGTCGATCCGGGCTGCATAAAGCTTCTCGAGCCGCTTTGGTTGAAACCGAAGCCCCCGAGTCCTCTGCCCACCTCCGTACGCTCCGGCGATTCCGCTGCCCCCGCCTCGTCGAATAAATCAGCCCCTTTGGGGACGGGCTCCGGGGTGGAGGGCAGCCGGGGGCAAACTCTGGGCGCCTGAGTTGTTGGCTGTCCAGCGGCTGCGATTGGCATTTCCTTTCGGGGGATTTCCTCTGTTTATTTATTTTTTTATCTTTTTTACACTTTTGCCTCTTCTGCTTTCTCTCAAGAGCAGCTTTTGCAGCTGTAATAAAATAGAAAATATGACAGAAGCGAAAGAAGTTAAAGCCAGCTGTTCAAACTACACACAGATAATCACAACACCGCTGCTTATTTTAATAAACGAGTTGTTTTAAGTTGAAACCGGCGCCTTGCCCGAATTTGGTCAGAATCGCTACAAAAACAACGCGAAAGCCCCAAACTGGTTCAACAACTAACGTCGAACTGCGCTGTTATCAGGACAACGCAAAATACGTCGTTAGGGCTAAACCCACAAACACGGAGATGTTTCAATTAAACGAATTGTTTTAAATGGTCAACAAAGGTCAACTCGGTGCTCACCGGGAACGTTTCCTTCCTGTCAGCCCGAGCAGCTCGCGGCTCGCTAACTCACGAGAGGGGCTAACATGAGATGCTAACGGTAGTGCGCATTGTACCCGGTGACAAAACGCGACAATAAGCCTTTTAAAACCGGAACAACAATCACGTGAAGACACAGATTCGCTTAAACATAACCGCGTTTACCACCAAACGGAGTTTCAGATTACTTTGTCCACTTTAACCGGCATTTAAACTTATTAAGCCAGTCTGCGTAACGTCGCTTGCTAGCTTGGCGAGCCTTACCAACCCCTCCTCCAGCGACCGATCCAGAGAAAAATCCCCTAGCTAACCACCCACGCCTCAAATCCCTTTAAAGCGATCGGCTATTGGGAACAAAACGGCGACTTCAAAATTAAAACAAGTTGTTCGGGGTGTATTCGTGGCGTTAGGATGAGCTCCAGTTGAAATGTCTCAGTTGCGAAGACGCCAACAGTTGAAGCGCAGAGAGAAAGATAAAAAGTGATCAATCTAAATTTACCAAGAAAGAACCAGGGCTAAAATTAACACGGGTTTAAGGGATGACCCCGCCTCGGAGTCTACAACTGAAACCCGGTCTATTCTCCTTTCCCCGAGTTGTAATTTTGGTCAGAAAAACGTACCTCCGGCGCGCTCTTCTCCGCTGTGCCCTATCTGTCGATGCTATTGTGCGCCCTGTGTGAGCGTATGTGGATGTGAGCTGATGAGCACAGCGTTCGCCTGGTGTCAGCGTGAAATGTGACAGACCGTCAACGCTGAAGTCGGATTTTACCAGACTCGACTAATCAAAAGCAGAAACAATAATTGATCTTCCCTTCACCGCACGCCGACTTAACTCAATCTTTGATATGATAATAGCTCGGCAAAATACTTGACCGGATAACATTTTGTACACGTTAATTTCTTATTTTCAAAACCGTGATTCTATTCTGAAACCAAAGAGCTGAAGCTCGATAATCGACTTGTATGTCCTGTAAAATCAAAAGCCGTGGTTAGCAGAGAGGCAGGCTAAAAGGGGCTTTAAATTATTTATTTACAAATACCGAGCCTACCCTGTACAGCTGTTTCCCCCAGAGTAGAAACTTCCCCTTAAAATAAGTGGCTGCTGTGTTTGCAAAAGTTACGTGTAAACTACTTATGACTGGAAAGAAAAGACAAGAGAGACAGCTGAAAAACGGCAAGGAACATAAAGAGAATCTGTTTTACATTGCCCGTCCAAAAAGTGTCCACCTCGATGTAAATAAACAGTTAGGAGCCTAACCCTGTTGGATAATTACTGCATGGATGTTTATCTTTAACTAAGCAAATAGGTACGAGCCTCCTATTGGACAATTGGTGATTATTTTTCAGCTGCAATATTTAACCGAGGTTCTTATTTCTTAAACAACCATGTGGGAAGACACATCTGGTGGTCGTGGAAAATATGCTAGTCTGTGTGAGAAGGGTCAGATCATTGGCATCAAGCAGAGGAAACATCTAAGGAGATGCAGAAACGACTAAAACTGGTCTGATGAGTCCAGAAGGACCCTGGTCCAGCGTGATGGCGCATCAGGGTAAGAAGAGAGGCAGATGAAGTGATGCACCCATCATGCCTAGCGCCTACCGTACAAGCCTGTGGGGGCAGTGCTATGATCTGGGCTTGCTGCAGTTGGTCAGGTCTAGGTTCATCAACAGGATGTGCTCCAAGAATGAGGTCAGGTGACTACCTGAATATCCTGAATGACCAGGTCATTCCATCTGCCCTGATGGCACGGCCAAGATGACAATGCCAGGACTCATCAGGCTCAGATGGTGAGAGAGTGGTTCAGGGAGCACGAGACATCATTTTCACACAGACCTTAACCCCAGTGAGAATCTGTGGGATGTGCTGGAGAAGGCTTTGTGCAGCGGTCAGACTCCACCATCATCAGTGCAACGTCTTGGTGAGACATTAATGCAACATGGATGGAGATAAGTCTGGATAAACAGAAGCTCATTGAAACAACGCCACAGCGAATGTGTGTCGTAGTCACGGCTAAAGGCGGTCCAACGAGATATTAGAGTGAGGCCTTTTTCGTTGGCGACTTTAATTTTGTATTTATTTTGTACTTAGCTTTAGTCTGAATGGGATTTTATTTATTTCAACTGAAATAATCAAATTTAATGTGTGACATTGTCAAGTATAGAAAGGGTAAAGTTACATGATTCCTTAGATATGGATCATTTCATTAATAAATGTGTTGCTAAAATTTCAATAATATTTTCTACCAATTTATAAAAGCTATGGGACTCCATTTGAGGGTCAAAGGTCAATGATATATCCTGAGTGAAGCATTTGTAACAAACTGCTATAAGCAATGCGTTGTACTGATGTTTCTGCGTGTGTGAGGCTTAAAAGCATGTGCAGAAAAGGTTTATGATTTATGTCAGTCGCCTCTTTCATGCATGCACACACACATGAACGTGCACAACCATCCCCATCCTAGTGGCCTCAGCGGTCATGTTTTCACACACACTCTACCCCAGCCTATCAGTATTAGTCCCAACACACACACACACACACACACACACACACACACACACACACACACACACACACACACACACACACACACACACACACACACACACACACACACACACACACACACAAGCGCACACACGCACACACACACACACACACATGTACACACACATTCTCTCCTCATTACACTCTCTTCCCTTACTTTGATGATATGCAAATATCCCTCCCACCCTTCTTTCTCACTCATCCCTTTCCCTATCTCACAGGCAGCAGCAAGTCCACACACACACACACACACACACACACACACACACACACACACACACACAGAAATGTCACGCGCAGGCTAACGTGCTGTGGCAGCGTCCACAGACAGGCAGGGAGGATCAATTTTTCACCCAGTGTGCTACCGATTTTCATAAGATAAGGCCACAGAGGACGGAGGAGAAGGATGGGGTGGGGGGGTGGAGTGGGGGAGGATGAAACAGCAGAGATGGGGATAAGGAAATAATAAGTGGGTGTAATGAAGAAGAAAGGGTGTCTAAGATGAAGGGCTGGGGCGATGAAGAGTGAGAGGAATGGAGTAGAGGAGTGGGGCGTAGATAGTTCAGTGAGGGTGAGTGCAGGGTGAGAAAGTAGAGAGGTTGGGGAATTGTCTGGGTGAGTGGGAGGGTGGAGGCAGGATGAGTAAGTGTGTTAGGGGTGGTAGGAAAAGGGGGATGGGTGTGTTGAGGGCTCTGGGGGATGGGACTGGGAATGTCAGTAAGGGTGGTAAGGGAAAGCGAGGGAGGGTGTGTGTCTGACTGTGAGTGTGTGTGTGTGTGTGTGTGGGGGGGGGGGGGGGGTTGTTGGCCTGCTCTCTTATTGGCTTGTTCAAACGCTGGGGGAGGGGCAGCCACACACCATACTCTCACCAGCTGTAGGGAAGAGCTGAGAAACAAAGAGAGGAAGGAGGGGGCCTGATATGAGTTTTAATGTTGATATTCTGCTTTAATCAGATTTCCGTCTGAGTGGCAGAATGAGCGCTGGTGATCGTACTGCATATCAGTGCAAGAGGACGGGAGACGAGCGCCGTCTGGGTTGGAGAATCCTGTTTCTACCAACATGAGGAGCTCCTGATCCATCCAGGCACAGAGAAACATTGTTGGAATATATATTTTACATACTGCCTAATTATGCAAACGAGGTTTTATTCCACAAGCCTTCGAATCAAGTCGTAAGTTTTTTAAAAGTGCTGTTTTCGTACAGAGCTAATAGAAATGAGCTGGGGCGGGGTTAGGCCAGGCCACTTGGGCTCAAGCCCCGAATGTTTAATGAAAAGCCCCGGATCTAAAACGTGGAAGTAACATGCAGTACCAAAGTCCAACAGAGAGGGAGCAGCTGGCAGTAGTTTGTACACAGCCTGCCTGAGCCTCCACCACTGAAGAAGAAGCTCTTCAGCAGCCGGCTTCTTCTACAGTCTCTGCCTGAAACCATCGACATATACATATTTGGACAATGGGTTTCCATAGGCTCCAATAACACGTTTTTGAGGAGAAATGGGAGGTGGCCACCACCGCCATTTTGACCGTGTCACAGGTTCCGTCAAGCCCGGACAATTCCACAAAAGGGAAGAGAGGTGGAGCTGAGGGTGGGGCTGTAAGGCTGGGATCAAATGACGATACCCGGTCGAACTAGCTACAAGCTAACCTGAAGCTAACCCAAAGCTAACGCGGAGGTGGGAGCTAAGCTAACGAAGGCAGCAACCTAGCTACATCCGGAGTTAACTGTGCACCACACCAGAGCTTCTGAGTCAGAGATACGCCGGGGTGACCGCTGGGTAAAACGGGGTGGAAAGGTTTCCATCCCAGAGCTCCACAAGCCGGCAGCCCGCGCAGCAGACAGAAGCCGCGATCAGACAGAGATGTGCCGAGCTGCGGGCAGGGGAGAACGGGTGGAAAACATCGGTCTCCCAAGAGCTCCACAAGGCGATAGTGGGAACCCAGCTCCACCAACATGTTATATTTCAACCCATTTTCTAAAGTGCAGCATTATGTTAAATGCACTGGGTTTTACCCTATTACATTTAAATTTCATGGTTAAACAGTACATGTTAAAATCTAAGCTCAGCTCGGCAGTGACCTAAAATACATAAATATAATTTGGGGCAGCAGTAGCTCAGGTGGTAGAACGGGTTGCCTCATGATCGGACGGTCATGGGTTTGATTCCAGCTCCCGCCAGAGGTATCCTGCTGTTGTGTCCTTGGGCAAGACATTTCACCCAACTTGCCTGTGTTAGTGGTGGTCAGAGGGGCCGATGGCGCCAAATGGCAGCCTCGCCTCTGTCAGACCTCCCCAGGGCAGCTGTGGTTACAAGTAGCTTACCATCACTAGCAGTGTGTGAATGTGAGTGTGTGAAAGCGTCTTTAGGTGTCTTGAAAAGCGCTATATAAGTTCACTGCATTATTATTATTATTATTATTATTATTATTTTACTTACCAAAAAAAATCAAGTGGAGACCCCTTGGACGCTCTATTAGTGCAATTAATGCCACAGCAAGTCATTTTGTCCAACAATTGCACAAATAATATCCAAAAAGAACGCACAAACGCTACAACTACTGGTCTAAGTTGAGAGACTGAAACTGACCAAACAGTTTTCAGGCTGAGGCCTTTCCCTGCGGTCACGTGGGTCTGATGCTCATTAATTATTCAGAATTTTAGGCTTTTAATACACTTAAACAGAAGAGTGAGAAAAAAATTCATCCCCCTCAGAGTTGTCGTGAGTGTAAACTAGATCTATTAAACCTAAAACATGTTTTGGAACCAGGCTCATTTATTTCTGCTGTGAAATTGGTATTTTTAACATGGGAGTCAATGAGGATTTGATCGCTTCTGACACCAGCCCCTAGTGGATGAGGGTGGAACTGCAATTTATTTCACTTCCGCATTGGCCTCAATTTCTGTCCCGCATTGGGGAGGCTTGCCTGAAACACATGTATAAAGTTACTTTTTGTCTAAAAACATACTTATGATAAGGGTGTTTTTTAGACCAAAAGTACCGCGACAGAACCCCAGCTTTGATGAGACTGGTGTTGCCTCAGGTTTGTGAGTCTTATGTGAAAATATGTGTTGTGCTGCTGGTTTGCCTAAAGTTAGCTTACTATCAGGTAAAGTTGTTGGAGAAAGAAAGGGAATATTTACTATCATCTCACACTAAACACTAACAGGAACTATACTCTGCCCTGAATATGCTGAATATGTAGCTTCAGATTAAAA